GTCCTTCAAAACATGTGAGGGTAGGGGGTAGGCCTGCAGCCACCCCATACATAACCTGCTAAGATTAAAGGGATTCTACCTCCTTTTTATAATTCCATATAGACTATCAAGGAATGTGATAATCTAAATAATTATATATATAGTAATAATCACTAGATATCACTATATATGCTTATAGATTATATTACCCAGCTAATATAGCTATTAATATCATATCCTCCCCTGCCTAGACTAAACTCAGTCTATAGAGTTCTTAGTTAGTATAGGAGTAGGGAGGCTAAGTTAGCACCTACTATTATAATAATCTATATATAATTATTATTAAGAGATATTAATTACTATATCTAGTATTTAAATATTATTATTTCTTTATTAAATCTATAGAATTAACTAATTAGTTCTTTATAATCTTACTTTAAAATAATCTTAGTAGTAGCTTAGTATATTTTTTATATACTAAGTAAGAGGTATAATTAGATTAGCTTAGTTAAGAATAATAATAAGTAAGTTATCTAAGTAATTAATAATCTTAATTAAGAGATAAAAAATTATAGTAAATATTACTAAATATATATAGTAGTAAATAAATAAAATTAATAAAGATAGAATTAACTAATAATTATTAATAAATAAGTAAGTATTTACTACTAATATATATAGTCTAAATATAAATACTCCTAACTTTTTATACTTTATTAAGTATAAGATTTTATAAATAGCTAGTTTAATAAAATAATAGCTCTTTAAATTACTCTTTATATAAATTATAAAACTATTAGAACTATTATTATCTGCTTTATATATTTACTTATATTAATTAATTTATTATTATTCTATTTTTAATTTACTTCTAGAGAATATAATATATATCTCTAACTAATAAGATCTTATTACTAAGATTATTATAAAATACTATCTTACTTTAACTACTTAAGAGAAATTATATATAACCTTACTAGATATTATTTATAATCTTAAATAGTTTTTTAGTAGAGATAGAGAATTAAAATCTAAATCTATTATAAACTCTATCTAATAATTAATTGTTATCCCATACTAGTATAGCATTAAAGTTAAGACTATTTATAACTAATATACTAAGTCTAGTATATTTAAAAAGTATATTATAGGGCCTAAGTATAATTTAGCTAATACTACTTATATATTTTTTTAGAGATTATATATTAATTATCTCTAGAATAATAAGTTAGTAAAATATAATTATTACTTAAGTTATATATAAGAATAGAATTCTAATAATAATATATAAGTTTCTACTTTATTAATTCTCTTTTCTTTTAGCTTATTTATATAGTATTATTCTTTAGGCTAGAGAATTACTATAGGCTCTTAGTAGTAGTTCTATTTTATAAGATATTTCCCCCCTCAGTAGAGGAGGTTATTAATAACCCTATTAAAGAATAGTTAAATATATCTAGAGCTTTTTATACCTTTTATAAGTCTACTATATCTTCTTCTATTAGTATTATTATATATACCCTATTAGTTAAAGGTAGGGTAGGTTATATTAATTATTATTCTTCTACTATTAAGCCCTCTATTATTAAAGATTCTTTATTTATAATTAATAAAGAGAAAGGATTCCTATTAAAATACCCTTATAAAATTATATCTTTTAGTTTAACTTTATTAAAGAAATATTATTATAATTCTCTAGATAAGGAAGTTCTTCTCTGATCTATATTAATAATTAATTTTAAGGACCTAGATTATCTCTATTTAATTTACTCTAATTTATCCTACTTTAAGAAGTTTATAAATAATAAAATTACTATCCTAGAGTTAGAACTTATAGAGAATAAAGAAGTAAAGAAAGAGGATAAAGAATAAGTATACTAAAATTAGGCTATCTTAGATCTTAATCTCTAAGACTAAGATAGAGACTAAGATAATTAAGTATAGCTTTTATTAAAGAAGTTAGTAAAGTTAAGAAAGCTTAGATATAATTTTAATAATATAATAATAATTATTATTTCTTTTATTATTTTCTAATTAATTTATACTAGAGTAATTAGTTATTAGCTAAATAGGTATATTCTCTTTTATTTTAATATTCTTATAATACTAGATAACTTATCCTTCTTTAATTACTTCTAGTAAGCTAGAATTACTACTATAAATAGTTTATTAAAATTATATCTCTCTTATTAGTATCTTATTAAGTTTAATTATTCTTTAATAAATTATATAATATTCTCTTATTTAGCTTATTATCTAAAGAAGTTAAGTTAATTTTACTTTATCCTAGAGTTAACTTCTTTTAATATTATATAGGTTAGCTATTCTCTATTAATATATTACTAATATATTCTTAAATCTTTATTTATTAATTATATTATTTTATTAAGACTTCCTTTTCTACCTACTTTAAATATACTTTTAAATATTTAATAGATTCCTAATCCCTTTAAGTTATTTTTAAAAAATTATTATATAAGAATAAGAGATTATTAGCCTCTTTAAATATCTTATATACTTTAATAAATAAGTAAATTAATAATCCTATCTTTTATAATCTTTATATTAATATAGCTAATATCTATAGTTTAGTTAGGTTCTTCTTAATATTAGCTTTTATTAATTATTATCTATTTATAAGATTCTCTACTATATATCTATTAGATTTAGTAATAGTATAAGTACTAAGTAGATATAATTAGAAAATTTAATATAAGCTAAATTATTTACTCTAGAACTTCTAAGGGGATTTATTATAAATAAGAACCTACTAATTATTTTTAAATTATAATTACTATATATTATTATTATATATTAAGTTCCTTTTAATAGCATGTACTAATAACTTCTTATTAGCTAAAGATTAGATATAATTAATATATAGTAATTAACTTTTAATATCTTAAGGTATTAGTTAACCAGCTTATAGATAACTAGATAATAATAGATAGATATTATAGAGAAGATAGAAGGGTAATAACTTTATCTAAGTATAGATATATATTTATACTATAAAAATAGTTAGAGATAGATATTTATTTTATAGACATATTAGTTTACTTATAAGATACTTTATTAATATCTTTTCTAATAAGCTATTTATATTTTTATTTTTACTATTAATTCTAAGATAATTTAAAGTTATTATTTAATATTTTACTTTAAGAATCTTAATATATAACTCTATAACTTATAATAGGAGATTTATACTATTATTAGAGAGTAGCTCTTTAAATACTCTATAATTAATAAAGATCTCTTTATAAAGGAAATATACTAATATTTTATCTTTTATATTAGATACTACCTTAGTAACAACCTAACTAGTAGTATAATTAACTACTATTATAATCTATTAATTACTATATTATTAGTAACTATCTAATAAGATTAATTTCTTATTATTTAAATAATAAGATATCCTTCTTTACTAAGTATTATATAGCTTTATATTTAAGATCTAGTCTTAAAGACTTTATAATTTAATAATTTAAGTAGTCTTTAGTAATATCTTAGATATCTTTTTAAATTATTAGCTACTAGGCATAAGTATAAATAATATTAAGTAAAGTAGAATAAGCTAGATAACTAAACTAATTATATAGCTAAGAGATAAAGTCCTTTTAAAAGGGAATTTTAAGGTATAGTATATTAATTTCTTTATTAATATAATATAGTTAATTAGTAGATTAATAATTAATATATTTTATCTTTAGCCAGAAGTTTAGTACTAATATTTTAATCTTTATTTTAATATTATTAGATATATCTAGATCCTTATCTTCTAAAAATAAGATTATTAACAGATACTATTTAGATTTAGAAAGATTTTAATAAGCTTTAAAGGCATTATTTACTAGTTATTTATTATAATTATATTATAGATAATATAAGAGTAAGTACTTATACTTTATTTACTAGACCTTCTTTAATAAAGTTAGGTTAGTAACTAATTATATTAGGGATAACTACTTTAGTCCCCTTATAATATTATATAACGAGATTATATACTTAAAATTCTTTAATCTAATATATAAGATATTTTAAATATATCTTTATATTAGTTAGGTATTAAAGACTTTTAATCTATTATAATTATAATAGGCTTACTATTATTAATATAATAATCTTATTATTAAAGTACTTTCTTAATTATAAGAAGTTCCTTCTTATATATAAGGTAGTTTTTTTTAGTATTATTAAGCTTTTATCTATTATGTCATGGCATGTGAGCAGTGCATGTTGTTTATCCATCTCTACTATATGTAGTACTTAGGAACATCATGAACTAATAAGCATATGATATAAATAGCTATATACTACTATAAAATAGTAGCATGTCTTGATTAATAATCTAGGACATAGATTTATATTTCCCCTAAAGAAAATTTCTCCTCTCATATATACTACCTATATAATTTATTCTATTACCTTAGTAAGGGCTTCCTTATAGGCTAGGCAGGCTAAATTCTAATACTAGAATTAGAACTACCTATAATATATAATAAAGTTATAAAAATAGTATATAAAATTATAGTATACTATTAGGACTTTAAAAACTAGCTAAAATCTTATAAT